ACAGTGCCCATCCACCTGACCGTCACACAGGGGGTGGGAGACAGAGACTCACTTATCTAGACCATGCCCATCCACCTGACCGTCACACAGGGGGTGGAAGACAGAGAGACTCACTTATCTAGATAGTGCTCATCTGGGATTCCCAGAGCTTCGCCAGGGGCTGCTTTCACTCCTTGAGTGTCTGCAGAGATTAAAATAAAAGAATTTACATAACTTTTTATAGAAATCACTTCTAAAATTTTAGTAACCAGTTTGATGTGAACTATACTTTAAAAATATGATCCAATGAAAAGGGGAGAAGTGTTTCCATTCCACCGTGCCACAGCTGAAATGCAGCAGGCGTGCAGCGACACTTGCTGAATGAGCGGAAGCGGTTTCCACACGGAGCTTCCATGACGTGCATTTACACGCCCCGATTCTTTACGTATCCCGATTCTTTGCACATCCTGATTCTTTACATTCCCTGATTCTTTACATACCCCGATTCTTTGCATTCTCTGATTCTTTGTATACCCCGAATCTTTACACACCCCAATTCTTTATGTACTCTGATTCATATCCCGATTCTTTGCACACCCCGAATCTTTACACACCCTGAATTCTTTGCATGCCCTGATTCTTTGCACACCCTGAATATTTACACACCCCAATTCTTTCCACACCCTGATTCTTTGCACACCCCGATTCTCTGTGTACCCCAATTGTTTACATACCCTGATTCTTTGGTTTCACGGCATCACTTTCTTTTTCCTAAGACACAAAAACAAGAAGGTCAGGGACAAATGTCTGCAGTCTGAATAAGAGCCCATTCAGGATACGTTTTGATCATGAAAGCACATTTCTGGGTTTTCAGAATGTCTACTGGCTGGGCGCAGTGGCTCACGCCTGTACTCCCAGCACTTTGGGAGGCCAAAGTGACTGGACTGCTTGAGCTCAGGAGTTCGAGACCAGTCTGGGCAACATGGCAAAACCCTGTCTCTACAAAAATTACGAAACTTAGCCAGGTGTAGTGGCACACCCTGTAGTCCCAGCTATTCAAGAAGCTGGAGGGGGAGGATCACTTGAGCCTGGAAGGCGGAGGTTGCAGTGAGCTGAGATCACACCACTGCACTCCAGTCTGGGTGACACAGCAAGACCCTGTCTCCGGGGGAAAAAAAAAAAAAAAAGGAATTTCTATCAAAAAATAACTAAACTTTTGGAAAGAGGAATCAATACTCCGTCTTCAAAACAGGCATGGATACTCCCTCTCCCCTTCTCTTGTAAGCCCCTCCCCTTGGGCCCTCAGCCTTGCCACTCTGTGGAAACAGCTTTTTGGTGGCCACACATCTCTTCCATGTGGCCTCCCAGCAGCTTGTGACGCACTTGGGCGCCCTTCTCAGTCAGGCTCATGGGATACCCCACAAGCCTGCTTTCCTCTAGCCTCTCCCACGGATGCACACTGGCTGCCTCTCTAGCAACCTCTTGCCCAAAAGGTAACTAAAATATTTCCACCAGCCAGTCATGGTGGCTCATGCCTATAATCCCAGCACTTTGGGAGGCCAAGGCAGGTGGATCACAAGGTCAGGAGTTCAAGGCCAGCCTGGTCAACATGGTGAAACTCCAGCTCTACCAAAAATACAAAATTAGCTGGATGTGGTGGCCTGTGCCTGCAGTCCCAGCTACTTGGGGCGCCCAGGCAGGAGAATCACTTCAACCTGGGAGGCGGACAGTGCAGTGAGCCAAGATCGCGCCACTGCACTTCAGACTGGCGACAGAGTGAGACTCTGTCTCAAAAAAAAAAAAAAAAAAAAAAAAAAAAAAAATTCCACCTTCAGCCGGGCCCTCTCTCCACATGGGTTTCCACCTGCTGCTGCACATCTTGCGCATCTAACTCTAACCCTACCCTCCTGCCTTCACCTCTTGAGTGGCTGGGATCACAGGTGCCCACTACCATGTCTGGGTAAGTTGTTTTTAAAGTTTCAGTAGAAATGAGGACTCACTATGCTGCTTAGGCTCGTCTTGAACTTCTGAATTCAAGTGATCCTCCTGCCTCGGCCTCCCAAAGTGCTGGGATTATAGGTGTGAGTCACTATGTCTGGCCAAGAGTATGACTTTAGAGCCAGAAAAGTACTTAGCAGGTGAATTCTGAAGGTTCTGGAGACGAAGGAGCGATGGTTGCACAGCAGTGTGAACGCACTCCACGTCACCGCACTGTGCGCTTAAAATGGTAACATTTATTATACTGTGCATATTTCACCCCAGTGAAACAAGAGAAAAACCATCCCGTCACTCTCCTGGGGGAGGCCTTCACCAGGCCCTGTGTGGGTGCAGGCCAGCACTGGCCCCGAGGCCCCGACATGCTGCAGCAGGGACCCACTGTCTGGCTCTTTCTCCCTTGTCTGCTCCTCCTTGGAGTCCCAGCCCCCTGAGGGTGGGACTTTGCTTTGCTGCCTGCTGTATTTCCACAGCCAGATGGTGCCTGGCACAGAGAGGCACTCCATAAACACCCAGCCAATGAGCACAGCTGCAGGCTCTCAGGACGGCTGTGTGGTGGCTGTGCAGCCCATCAGCACAGGCGACCCCAGGACAGACAGTCCTGGGAACAGCTCCTCGGTGGCAGCTGCATCGGGAGCCAATGCCACCAGATCCTGGGCTGTGGGGAGGGAGGCGGGAAGCAGGTGCCTGAGATGGGCTTAGTGTGCGCCAGCTTGTGGCTGGAGGGAGGTCCCTTCAGTTTGAGACATCGGTGTCCTCATTTGTGTACTAATCACAATGAGGGTGTGCTGAGCACTGAGGGTCACTGAGAACACGGAAGTGGTCCACACCATGACGCACTGCCTGAGCCAGAGGCTCGCTCCCTCCCGGGCTCTGCTGCCTCCTTCTGCCTCGTGTCCCTTTCTGATTGTGACCCTGACGTTCCAGCATTTGGTGGAAATGTCACTGTGACATTTGTACCCATTTTTCTTTTTAAAAAAAATTTTTGTAAGAACACTTGACATGAGCTCTGCCCTCTGAACAGCTCTGGGTACGCTGTGCAGCTGGGCGGCCTGCAGGCCCAAGGTGCACAGCAGATCCCAGAAGTCATTCATCTGGCATGGCTGAAACCTCAGGTCAGCTGCACGGAAACTCCCTGTGTTCTGCCACCTTTTCTTTTCTATTTTCTTTCAACTGAAGGAAACTTAATGGTAAAATTAGTGAGTGTTATGAAGCTAATTCATAACTCAGAAGCAGGGAGGTTGTAAAGAAACACATTTATCTTTGTTCCCAGTACATATGACACCCCCCACCCCAGGCTTAAAGAGTAAGGGCTCACTGAAACTGAAGGTTGACCTGAAATCTCCCTTTTTTTTTCAGAGGGAGTCTCGCTGTCACCCAGGCTGGAGTGCAGTGGCACAATTTTGGCTCACTGCAACCGCTGCCTCCTGGGTTTAAGCGATTCCCCTGCCTCAGCCTCCCGAGTAGCTGGAACTACAGGTGCCTACCACCATGCCCGGCTAAGTTTTTGTATTTTTAGTAAAGGCAGAGTTTCACTGTGTTCGCCAGGCTGGTGTCCATCTCCTGAATTCATGATCCGCCCACCTTGGCCTCCCAAAGTGCTGGGATTATAGGCGTGAGCCACTGCGCCCAGCCAAAACCTTCCTTTTTTAATGCACTGAAGTCAAATAGTCAAATTGATTTTTCTCTTTTGCCTCTCAAGGTGGCTGGAGAGCTGTGGAGGAGACCAGCTCTGTGCCTGCAGCCCCTGGTCCCCTCCCTAAACATCTGCAGCAGCTCACATCAATTCTGACAGAGGATAGAGGGGCAGGAAGGGTGTCTGCCACCCAATTCCAACTCTGCATGGAAGGCTTCCGTTCTCCACCCCAAAACTAACCTAAAACCAGAAGGAATCAAGACACTCATTTGTATAATCCCATGAAAAATAAGTCAAGTACGATGTGGATCTATATAGCAAAATACATCGCGGCTAAAAGCCCACAGGTGAAAGCTGTGTTAATTCCAACCTCAACTTCAGCCTGAATTTCCTTCAGCGCTGCCAGCTGCCCTTGTAAAGCTTTTATTTCTTCTTTCTTTTGCTTTTCTGCTTCTTCTGTAGCTGCTTTTCTCTGTGCCTGTAAGAAAATTATTCTTCCATTAGAATAGCTTGTTAGGGTAATCTTAGACGCTGGGAGACAAATTATGGCATATCAACTATGTTTTTTATAAATTATAAATTATAATATTCACTAAGACTAATAATGAGTTAGAAGTAAATCTTTTCAATGGATTTCATCGATGTTTGTTGGTAGATAAACCTGCCATATCCTCACAGCTATCATCATGCCCGTTTGCAGCCTGGGAGCCCGAGGGTCTCACCGGCAGAAAGCGGAGGAGTGGGATCTGAAGGCAGGAACCAGTGTCCTTAGCCAGTAAGCCTGGGCTTCCCATACACATGGCTCATTAAAATATTTAGTTACTTATTTATGCACCAAGTGATTTCTTCAACAAAGGATGAGGTCATAACCTCACGAAAGTTAACTTACCTTCATCTCAGCCTCTGTAGGTCGGCCATCTATTTTAGCAAATCCGTCAAAAATTGTTTTGTAGAGAATGTTCTTGCGCGTGTTGCTGTCGTCTGGAGGAAGATACGCCAGGGCAGAAGCCTGGTGCTGTCTGTACATGTCCAAAATAATTCTAACCGCTGTCTCTCGGACCTCATACACTCTATGCTCCAGGGCACTCACTGAAAACTAAAAATAAAATTGGGAGGGGCTCTTGTTACTGATTCTGAAAATAACGAAATTAATTTCCTTCAGCATACAAAAAACGTACATTATAAACATTTGAAACATAAAGAAAAAACATCCATATTAAGTATCAGGAAATCCTTCAAACATAAAACCTCATGGACCTACCGTCTCGATGTGACCCGCGCTGTCATTTCATAACGCTTGGTTTGGGTCGTTTAAAGAAACAGAACGCTATGGCTCTAGTGTCACTACATCCCCCGTAAGTCTCTGGGGCCCATGATTTCTCACCCTCCTTGGAGGTGTGCACTCCTGTGTAGCTGATGTGCAGATTTTGGATTTCGCATGCTCAACCAGTAAGTATAACGGAAATATTCCAGAATCCAAAAACAATCTGAAATCCTAAACACTCTGGTCTTAAGCATTTCAGATGAGGAGCGCCAAACTGTACCTGATATTCTCCACCACACTGTTTTTATTGTCTCTTAAAAGACAAAGACATGTTTTTTATGATTAGTTTCTCTCCACGGACAAAGATCTTCACAGATCACGCACCACCGAGTTCGATTAGACAGCAGGATGAGTGTGGGGGTCCCCATGTCTTGGATGAAACACTGGCTATTTTTCTGAAATCACTGTTTCATTCATTCATGGACCAAATGCTGATGAGACCCTCGCCGGGCTCCAGGCACTGTGGTGAGGGCCGGGCTACGCTGGCGTGTCACACTCGAGGTCCGCTTACCTTCATCACGTTGTCGACGGTGAAGCCTGAGCTCCCGGTGCCCAGGTCTTTCAGCAGCCGGGCCAGGAGGTCCATCTGACTCATCGCCAAATGAACCGAGGAGTTTGCTTTCAATGGCTGCACCAGGTAGGAGGGAATAATTTGGAGAGACTTAACTTCTTTAAACAAAGCCATTTCCTGTGAAAGCCAACGGAACTGGTTAATTTTTAGTGGAAAAAGCTGGAGGCAGTTTAGTACAATTTAGCATGATCTTAAACTAAACATTGAAGAGAAAAATAGGGATACAGAATGACAGCGACAAACAGCCGTAAGACCACCCAGCTGTAAGCTTGTATTTCTATTTAAAGCCTAACAACCATTAGAAATGAAAACCTGAGCCACAGGAAATAAAGCCATGAAGAATAAAACAAGTTCATGACTGATGAAAGCTTTACAGAAAGGGTAACTGCAGACTAGAAGGTGTTTGTTCTCAGTATTCTTCAACTTCAAGAAAAAGGTTTCCTCATTTCTAAAATTCTAAAAGAAATTATAGCTGCTGCTAGAATCATTGTTATTTTAGTATTTTTTAAATATTAGCCAAGGGTGTAGCCATGTAAGATTCTGCAGTGATATGACTGCTAGTGGGTTAAGATGGAAAAAGTAAGTACCATTACATATTTAATGTCTCTAAATAAACACGTCTTTATATAATTAAGATATTTACCACTTAATTGACCAGAGAAAAAAATAAGATACTGATGCATTAAGTTGTATCAGAAATAAACCTGTTTTTAATAGGTTTGTAGGTCCTATCATCTAAAATAATCTCTCATCTTGCTGGCCTGATTCACTCTGTATCTGGGCCTATGAGTGACTCCGTACAAATATAAAAGGTAAGAGAAGAGCATTCTCCAGGGAAGTAAGGACAGTAAATTCCGTAACGGCAAACAGATGCTGTGAGTGTGTGTGTAGTCTGCTGAGTGGCACACACTGGGGCACAAGAATTGTAAACCTCGAGAGATTTCTTTAAGGTTATCTCAGATAGAGGTGACATTTTAGCACCACCAAGCTGCTCAGAGGTTAATGCAGCTTGAAAATAATCAAATGAAGCAATAACATGCGCTCATTTGCAACAAAGCTTTTGAGGGATGAGCCCTCCCACCTCCAAATTCTAGCTGTCTTAACCAGGAGCGTATTGTAGCATATTAGCATTTCAGCACTTCTTGCCTTTTTATTAGCATTAGTTTTCCTTATTTACTCTGAAAATTTTAAGTTTATTAAATGAAACTAGATCTGTGGTTCCTCTTATTTTGGAGCAATGACCCCTTTGGGAAACTGTGAAAGCTTTGGAGTCTTTTGTTTTTGAGACAGAGTCTTGCTGCCACCCAGGCTGGAGTGCAGTGGCGAGATCATGGCTCACGGCAGCCTCAACCTCGTGAGCTCAAGCCTCTGACCTTGGCCTTCCCAGGAGCTGGACTACAGGAGTACACCACCACGCCTGGCTAATTTTTGTATTTTTTGCAGAGACAGAGTCTCACTCTGTTGGCCAGGCTGGTCTCGAACTCCTGGGCCCAACTGATCTGCCCTCCTTGGTCTCCCAAAGTGCTGGGATTATGGGCGTGAGCCACTGCATCCAGCCTGGATGCCTTTTTAAGAAGGATCTGCACATCACAATATTTTGTGTAAAACTTGAGTAACTGATAGCTTTCTTAAGCCCAAAGGGGGACTCTTAACTGAGAACTCCTGGACTAGACGAATTCATGAGCTTATTTGAAGACAGCAAATATATTTTCACATGATGGTGCAGGACTGTGTGCCCCAAACTCTCACATTTCTCTCTACCTCAGTATTTCCCACCATGTCCAGCCTAGAGGAGGCACGTTTGGTGAAAGAATGAAAATATTTCCATTAAGACAGTTACATTTTTTATTTCTTTACCCCCCAAATTTTCTATTTTGGTATCGTTTCTGTATATTTTTATTTATCTAATAAATTAATGGCATATGTTGGATAAAAGAAACATGGGAAAAACCAAACCGTACATTGTAACTGAAGTTTACGTCTAAGATAAAACTGATCTTTGAGAGCATAAGCGAAGTGTGATGGTGAATCCCTAAGCATCATTCTCACACTCTTGAATAGAGACAGAATCTTTTAAGGTGTTAAGAAAGCCAGGGAGCTATAAGAATATGCTTATTATCTACTGTTTCAAATGCTATGGTGAAGTTCAGACCTGAATAAAATTTGCAGCTGTGACACGGACACGGGCAGAAGAATCTCCAGTTCTGGTGAGCAAAACGGGAATGGTCCTTTCCACACAGTGAGCTGTTTCGAGTTTAATCAGTTTATGTTTGGGTATATATTGTGTAATGATCATTTTCAACAATTTCAATGAAGCCTGAAAGACCTACGAGAAAAGTAATAAACACGGATGAGTTACTACAATGGAATTCTACCAAGAGTAAACGTGGAATTTATTATCAGTAATACATATGAACATTAGATTGAAAATTACATCTTGTCTGAAACAATGAAAATGGTAAACTGAAAACTGCTTTCTAAACACAGTACCCTGCATATAGAGGACATATGCTGTATTTCACTGTGTCATAAATCACCCCATGTCTTCCCTCCACACCACATATCTAACATGCCTGCTTCAGTGGGTAAGCCCATCTGTGCAACGTTCATTCCTAGGCCCGTTCAGCATTAGAAAAATAGTAACGCTCAACCTCAGCAGGTTTCATGAAGAGTTAAAATGCAAACTGAAGATGTGGTGGTGCTGAACCAGGCCTCTACAAACACCTGGCTCTGCAGACCATGCAAAAGCCAGCACTGAGTGCTCAAGGCCAGAGATAATGGCCCAGGCAGGTCAGATCAGTCGTACAATATATTGCTTTTGCTAGAGAACCTCATTCCTTAGTGATTCTACTGGGTTAGAGCTGGTGACCATGTCAGCGACTAACTGGTCATCTCTCAAGCTGCTCTGGTCTTCTGTGGTATGGTGCATTATCTCATCCATGGACTGTGGAGCCAGCGCCAGCTGAGGGCACTCACGGAGGTCACAATGTCCTTTATGGCTCTTCGAACAAGAAAGATGGACGCTCTCAGTGTGTTTTTCAAATCTTCTTTTGGGGTCCCAACAGGTATTTCCATCAACTTCTTATACAAAGCAAGCAGTGCATCCTCTCGGTAGGACCAAGTCTTGGAATAGGCCCCAGCAACCTGCCACAAAACAGGTGGCATTGGCATGACACCACACAGCCATCCTCCAACACTACACAACTTGAAGGCTTTGTTTTTTTTTTAAACTAAAACGATTCATTACTAATAACAGAACTTTTACAAGTAAATATGCATATTTAGAGAAATAACTTTTCTGGTAAGGAAAATTTAAGACGTTTAAATATGAAAAGTATCAAAAGCTCCAAGAAAAACATTTTAAATCTGAGAACATGGAGAAAACCCTACTCATTTCCTTTTTTTTTTTTTGAGATGGAGTCTTGCTCGGTCACCAGGCTGGAGTGCAGTGGTGTAATCTCAACTCACTGAAACCTCTGCCTCCCGGGTTCAAGCAATTCTCCTGCCTCAGCCTCCTGAGTAGCTGGAACTACAGGTGTGTGCCACCATGCCCAGATAATTATTTTTGTATTTTTAGTAGAAATGGGGTTTCACCATGTTGGCCAGGATGGTTTTGATCTCTTGACCTCGTGATCCGCCAGCCTCGGCCTCCCAAAGTGCTGGGATAACAGGCGTAAGCCACTGCACCTAGCCCCTACTCATTTCTATGAGGAGATACTTCCATCTTTTGCTTTGCCATCGTTTTGCGCTGGAATTAGTTGGGAGCAGGTGTTTAATACAAGCTCTGTGAACGCCAGAAGGAAATACCCAGGCTGAAATGAGTACTCATTGATACATCTTAGCTCATGTTTTTGCCGTTTCACATAATTCATAATTTACAAAACGGCCAGGCATGGTGGCTAATGTGTGTAATCCCAACATTTTGGGAGGCCAAGGCAAGGAGTTCAAGGATATAGTGAGCTATGATCGTGCCACTGTCTCCACACTGGGTGACAAGAACGATAGTCTTTCTTAAAAAAAAAAAAAAAAAAAAAAAAAAAATTAACGAAAGACTTTCCAATTCAGTAAGAACAGAGGGAAATCAAAAACATTACAAACACAAAGCCCTGGGCATTTTCCTCCTTTATGTGCAGATACACAGACGCATGCATGTAGCCTTCCCTCCCCTCTGCCCCCACTTTTTACCAAGGTCTCTCCCAGGACATCAATGGCAGAGCTGGCTTCTCTCAGGGCCTTCTCGGTTAGGGGCTCTGGCTCCCCAGACATGCCTCCCCTCCGAGCACTGCTGATGTTTGCATCACTCATTTCCAGCTCCACCACCGCCTCACCATGATGCTTCCGAATGGCTGGAAGAGGCCGCTCGTCATAGGGCAGGGGCTCTGCCTGCAGTGAGGAAAAGAGAGGGGAAAGCGCTGGGGAGCTCTGTGGGACACATTCTCCAACGCAGCTCTCACTGGCAGGCTTGCTTTACCTGATCTGAAAGATGTGATTTTGCTAAATATCAGTATCATCAGATTAGAAAAATTTATACAACAAATAGGATGTAATTGAAAAGATTAGATGAGGCTTTCTTTTCCTTTCTAAACTCATTACAGATCTAATAAAAAAAGCAAGGTAGAGTGTGCCTGAATTACTGTTTACCGGTAGCAATTTCAGTTCAACTGACATGGAGATGACTACAGTAAAGGCTCATATATCTTTTTTTCTGACAAGATCTCTGATATTTTCTGAGTTTATTGCTTAGAAACAAGCATCAAGCTTGATTTTCATAGACATACTCCTAAGGTGTCATGAGGCCTATTGCTCATGTTGCTATGTTCTCATTCAGCACCATGGCTCCCAGAATGGAACGGAGGTGGGCATGGCTGTGGTGCACTCACAGACCCATGCATGGGAACAGCACCTGGCCCGACACAGGTCCTCTACAAAGATCCAAATAAACTCAACACCGGCTGGGCGCAGTGACTCATGCCTGTAATCCCTGCATGTTGGGAGGCTGAAGGGGGCGAATCATGAGGCCAGGGGTTTGAGACCAGCCCGGCCAACATGGTAAAACCCCATCTCTACTAAAAATACAAAAACTAGCTGGGTGTGGTGGCACGCACCTGCAGTCCCAGCTGCTTGGGAGGCTGAGGCAGGAGAATCTCTTGAACCCTGGAGGCGGAGGTTGCAGTGAGCCTAGATTGCACCACTGCACTCCAGCCTGGGCGACAGAGCAAGACTCCATTTCAAAAAAAAAAAATTGAACACCAATCTGAAGCGGAGTTACCTACATTCATTTTTGGATGAGGATCTGTGGCAGGGAGTAACTGGTCTACTGCAGAATGCTGAGGAGAAATAGTTAGAGAATATGATGAAGGCTTTTCCTGAAGGAAAGGTTCTGCAAACTGGCTTTCTGTTCCCTTTTCTTCCAGTTGTGGTAGTGAGGGCCCTGGCTTTTGGTGGCGAGGACTGCCAGAGTGAGCGAGGGGCTGGAGGGGCAAATCCAAAGGTCTTCGTATCTAGGGAACAAAAAGGGACATTTAATTCAAATGCCACTGTCATGCCAGATATATCCATCTCCCTCCTGCAGGTGAGTAAGACTTTAGGAAGGCTGTGCTGGAAGAGGCTCCTTGGCACAATGGAAGCTTTCAAAACAAGAGGGCGCGTTCAGAGCAAGATCTACTGGGAAGTCCCTCACAGTCAAGCTGCACTCATCTCCGCTGTCTCTCCATGTTTCTGTGTTTTGGGGTATGTGTCACTACGAAAGTGACACATACCCCAAAATGCTGGTGAAGGAATGGGCATTTGTGCATGGAGCATGTCCACACATATGTGCCGCTGAAGGAACGTGGTGCTGTGGAGAAAGCACCTGGGCTGGTCCCAAGTGGACTTTTATTCAAAATCTGGCACTGCTGCTCACTGTGTGTACAAAGGAAAGTGATGTTATATAATCGCAACAAGCACAGCTGACTGCACAGTTGCACACTAGGCACGGTACTGAGTGTTCTAGACAGGTGGGCCCATTAATGCTTACTCTTTTACCTTCACTGGAAAGCTGAAGGGAAGACTGAGGCATAAAGCTGTAAGAATTAGTCTGCAATCACACAGCTGGAATGGTGGTGCCTCGATTTGAACCCAGGCAGGCCAGCTCGAGCATGCACTCTCTTTTTTTAGAGGCGGGGTCTTGCTACATCACCAAGGCTGGAGGGCAGTGGTGCGATCATAGCTCAGTGCAGCTTTGAACTTCTGGGCCCAGGTGATCCTGCTGCCTCGCTCTCCTGAGTAGCTAGGACTACAGGTGTGCGCCCCCCAGGCCTGGCCATTATTTATGTTTTGTACAGACAATGTCTATGTTGCCCAGACCGGCCTCCGACTCATGGGCTCAAACAATCTCCTGGCCTTGGCTTCCCAAAGTGGTGGGGTTACAGGCGTGCATCGCCACGCCTGGTCTTGAGTGTGCACTCTCAATCACTGTTCTGTCATTTTCTCATCTGTCATGAGGGCTGACTGCCCCATCTGCCTGAGTTCTGAAGACTGGAGGGAGAGCACCTTATGGGAACCACGTTCTCCATATGTCGAAGCTGTTAGTATTAAGCTCTCACTTGGTCCTCACAACACTGAGGGGTAAGTGGGGCAGGGTCATCACTGCATTTTCCAAATAAGGAAGCAGCTGGAGAGACGAAGGGATGCAGTGGAAAAGTATCAGGGCCTCGGTTCTCCTGACCCTGGCTCGTTCCCCTTCCCATGACTGTAAACCTCCTGAAAGAATATGCTGAGGCAAAACCTCCCTGACGTGGGCACAGAGGTGAAGCCATCTGTTAGAACTGTCCCCTGCAAAGTGTTTTACATGACACTTCAAAGATATGCATCCAACTTTATGAACCACACAGCTCGCCAAGGCTTTCCTCCACCCCGCCCGGGCTCCTGCACCCACCAGCTCAGCATCCAGGAGGCTATGGAGCTCCAGCTGCTCGTACACCTCGGCGCGATACTGCTCCATCTGCTGTTTCTTCTCCTTGGCGAGATCGTAGTCTTCCTTCTCCACAGCACAGCGTTTCTCTACCTCGTACCTCCCAAGACGCTCACCAACCTGAAGCACAAAATGTTTGCTTTTTGTTTCAAATGTGGATCAACTCACATCAAATGCAAAGGTAATTTTTAGAATCATGCTCGAACAGTCTCGTGAGGAGAGGGAACGAGCACAGGGAAGCGGAGGGAATGGGCCACAGTCACTGCAGAGGTCTGGCTGCTGTTGC